ATACTTGCCACCATGTAGCGAGGGTAGACAACCATGTACTGTTGCTGTATGCCCACTATTCGGTAGCTACACTCGCGCACCACTGTGCGTTCCGTGCGCATGGCCTGTTCCACGTCCTTGTTTAGTGGTGGCCCTCGGCCAGGTAAGAATGCACTGGCAGTGCTGTCTCTCAACATCTGAGCAAAGTTCTCCACTCTGTCACAGTAAGGAAAGAGAGGGAGACACACGTAGAGACGGACAGGCAGACACACATAGGGACAGACAGACAGACAGACAGGCAGACACAGGCAGACAGAAAATAGCATAGAGGCGGATGGAGCGTTCACCGGAGGCACATACAGATAGGGAATGAATGAACGGACAGCTATATACTTGGACCGGGTGACCAGACAGAAGGACGAATGGAAAGATATACCAGTCCGGAAATGCTGCTATTGTCTTCCCTCATCCAGGACAATGTTCAAGAAAGGACACCTCCACACCAAGGACAGCATGTCTTAGTCCATATCGATAGGCTTACATCTTGCCATGCATTGCCACAACTAATGCATTTCGGTTATTGGGCCATCTCCTCATACAAGGCAAGACACGGACGCCGTACTGCAATGTCGCATACTAAGAAGCTAGGTTTATAATACAGTGTAAAAGTTGATGTGGAGATTTGTGACTTGTGTCGAAAGCCAGGACTGGCATTGCTTTGTAGTTTGTACTGGCATGTCAGCACAAGCGAGGCCGTTTGTGCCAAAATGTCGATCTTGACTGAGATCAGTCGTGCAACCTATTCAAGGCAAGCTGACTTTAACAGGACAATACGGTTTCTCCGGTCTCTCCTCGTGTTGGTATTCAAAAGGATCTACTGCATCATGTCGCACAATGAACAAAATACGTCTGAGCCATGCCAGCTTACCGGGGATGTTGAGAGTGAATCATACGATTCACACGGTCACTGTACTCCTCGTGTACATGGAATGGGTCGGCAATGTGCAGGCGAATACGGCCGTTGGGCTTCTGCAGGACGTTGTGAATGCCTCGAATCATAGACTGCAGCAGAAACACACGGGTCATACGAAGAACACGAGGAAAGATCTGGGTTGCCAGCTCATGTCACATTAACAGTGTACTACTGCGAAGTACACGCCCAGCGAATGAATTCCTGCCCAGCTGATGCCCACCGACTCGGGGGATTCCCAGAGATTTCCATGCTCTATAGAGCGATTCCAAAAGGATCAACATGCCTTTTCACAACATCAACATTACAAACTGTATGAACAGCGAAAAAACAGACTGCATGATTCTGAAGAAAAGCTAGAGAATGAAACCCGGATCATATTGTAAAACCGGAAAATTTCGGCGGAATTTTATTTTCGGTAACTTACTTTTCGGTACAGGTAATTTTCAACTAAAATATAAGGCGACCTAAAATTCAACAATGCCACGCCACACAGTGCACAAAATGCATTTTTGGATCTGGAAACCTGGTTTACCAAAATTTTCGCTCTACAAAAGCGTTGATTTTGGGAAATACCACCGAAAATTGCCAGCATTACAGTACAGGTTGGTCTCCATGCCATCTTACGGTTGATCTCTCTTTAGGCTTTCCGACGCCTAGCATACTGAGCACATGGCTGTCCTCTTCCAGTGGCCTCTCGTACGACACCGATATCGGGCACAGGGCAAAGTCGCCGACAACACCACGGAAGAACTGGTCAAATACGTAGCCTATGATGCCTGGAGAAATACCAGAAAGCAATCACATTATAATAGAAACACACACACACACACACACACACACACATACACACACACACACACACACACACACACACACATGAGAGAGAGACAGAGAAAGGAGAGATAGAGATGCAAGTATACACACAGACACACAGAGACAATACTTATAGTGTTGCATGGACTGCTCTAAGGCTCCTAAACGCTCACAGGATCATGCAGATACCCATGGCGCAATTACACAATCATAACAATGTCACTGAGATCCCGGTGACTCATTGGTCAACTGGTCATTTAAATGGGACTTTAGAACTTAGAGCAATGGTGCTAGTTCACAAGAATCCTTAGTCTAGCAAACTTTGGCTTCAGCATAGACACCGATACTGCAAATCTCCGTGACGTGGGAGAATTGCTACTTTCTCCAAAAGTTAGCATCAAACAGCTGGCCTTCTTCATTACCATCATCACTCATCACCTTACCCATCTTGGGGTGCAGGGCTTTCCCCGTCCGACTTCGTGTTCCTTCGATGAAGAACTCAATAGGGTTAGCGCCGTCCTCCATGATGGCATGCACGTACTCGGAGAAGATAGTCTTGTAGAAGAGATCCTTGGTGAAACTGCGCTGCATGTAGAATGCGCCGCAGTGCCGCAGCAGCTTTCCTATGAACGTCATTGCCTTGAAGTCTGGGTCAAAGGTGAATGCAGCCAATTGCAATACAGTCAATCGTACACATACCAGCAGTGCCATATGCCAATGATCAAGATTTAAATAGATTAATTGCCCCTGAAAGATTTCCAAGACTAAGATACTGGAAGGGTCTCCAAGTAACCACAAATTCATGAAAAATGGAGAGCTGTTCACCCCAGAACCTCATCGGCATGTGTCAATATTCTAAGAAACATGAAGGCTCCATAGCCAAGACAGACTCCACGTCTCCATCAGCCAGTATACATGTCCACATAGCCAAGACAGACTCCACGTCTCCATCAGCCAGTATACATGTCCACATAGCCAAGACAGACTCCACGTCTCCATCAGCCAGTATACATGTCCACATAGCCAAGACAGACTCCACGTCTCCATCAGCCAGTATACATGTCCACATAGCCAAGACAGACTCCACGTCTCCATCAGCCAGTATACATGTCCACATAGCCAAGACAGACTCCACGTCTCCATCAGCCAGTATACATGTCCACATAGCCAAGACAGACTCCACGTCTCCATCAGCCAGTATACATGTCCACATAGCCAAGACAGACTCCACGTCTCCATCAGCCAGTATACATGTCCACATAGCCAAGACAGACTCCACGTCTCCATCAGCCAGTATACATGTCCACATAGCCAAGACAGACTCCACGTCTCCATCAGCCAGTATACATGTCCACATAGCCAAGACAGACTCCACGTCTCCATCAGCCAGTATACATGTCCACATAGCCAAGACAGACTCCACGTCTCCATCAGCCAGTATACATGTCCACATAGCCAAGACAGACTCCACGTCTCCATCAGCCAGTATACATGTCCACATAGTCAAGACAGACTCCACGTCTCCATCAGCCAGTATACATGTCCACATAGCCAAGACAGACTCCACGTCTCCATCAGCCAGTATACATGTCCACATAGCCAAGACAGACTCCACGTCTCCATCAGCCAGTATACATGTCCACATAGCCAAGACAGACTCCACGTCTCCATCAGCCAGTATACATGTCCACATAGTCAAGACAGACTCCACGTCTCCATCAGCCAGTATACATGTCCACATAGCCAAGACAGACTCCACGTCTCCATCAGCCAGTATACATGTCCACATAGCCAAGACAGACTCCACGTCTCCATCAGCCAGTATACATGTCCACAGTTTGAATAATGCATAGCACGGGACAATAAACAACAGCTTGCCAACCAGTCCCTGTCACATGCGATTCTACGAAATGCAGTGGATGAGACATGAGATTGGGTACTATAATAGTATGTCCCACACCACACATGTTATGCATTGTCAGGTCTCCACCCGTGCCATATGATATAGTGCTAGTAATGCGTGGATGGGGGTATGGGGGTGGTGGCACAATCACTAGTATACAGTATACACGAGGCTGACCCCCCCCCCCCCCCCACACACACACCACCACCACCAGCAGCAGCAGCTCTTGGGCACCCGACAGAATTGTATGGACAATGTGTACCTAATGTCAGGCACTGCAGAACTAGCACTGCTTACCTTCACCAGCCACTACCAGAGGAACAGGAACATCGTGTGCAAAACACAACGGCGACAGCAGGAGAAAGTCGGCATAGCTTCGATGCGAAGGCACAAACACCAGGGGAACATCTTTGAGCTTGGACTTCCACTATCCCAGTGTCCATGGGAGAGACAGGAACAAAAAACACAGTGCACATAGACAAAACCAGGTCACTCAACTGAGGTCCGAGGCTTTCTGATAGTTCACACCAGCACATGCACACACATACATACACACACACACACACACACACACACACACACACATGCGCATACACACACATACACACGTGCGCACGCATACGGACACACACACACACACACACACACACATACTGCTGACAAGCGAAACCATAACACGTGTCAACAGAGGAGCAGCAGGCACCTTCCAGCCTTGCACCAGGTCCGTAGCAGCCCCATTCTGGCTGGTCCGGCAAGATACAACCTCAGCTCGCACCCACACCACTCCCACCCCACCACCAACACCACAACACACGCAGATACTCACATCATATGCCATGCCTAATTAGTTTGAAGGTGCTTTTAAGTTTTTATGCAGCCCCGGCACAGGCTCTACATAACATCAGTGTCCACATCATGTGCACAGCATTACGTCATGCTTCACACTTTGCACAGCACACACGTCCTATATTGAGCCCTGGCAATCACGATGCTAGTTGCATATTCACAGAACCTGGACATAGTCATTCCTTCTTTTCATTACGAGTAGGTGAGAAAAGCGATCTCTCGCTTCATACATGTATCTTGGAGGGAAATGTTTGGAATAATGTCATTGCTTACGAACAAAACAAAATATTGTGTTTTTATTGATGTTGTTATGTAATGAAGCAAATTGTACCATGCGGTGCTTACACAACTCCGCTTGAAAGCTCTTCTCATCCCCTCTAGATCCAACTTTCTTTTCGCAAGGAAAAAAAGACTTTCTACTTGTAATTCAAAGCCTTTAGAGCTCGTGTAGTTGCGTCATCTTCTGCAGATAATAAAATCTTGCAATCATTTGGCTCCATTCATCCACCACCGACAACTACGACTGAATCAAAAAACCACCAGCACTCTTCTTCTTTCGACCACCTTCTTCTCGAACTGATTGAATGCACTCGAGTCGCCGCTTCAAGTCCTATCCCGTGTAGGCGCCTCTTGACCTTTTTCTTCTCTTTTTTTTACCCGAACATTGGTCCTGCTGGACTGGCCGCTATGGCCCTGTGCATGCCTGTGTTCTATTTATTATACTCACACAAAGGACAAAAATCAATCTGTTGAAGGACACAATTTTGCCAATGTTCTTGTATCCCCTTCACTTCCTGCCACCATTACCATCATGACCACCATTTCTGTCATGCCGGTTGATTGCTCTTGACAAGCAGCCTGACATACGCCCTACTGGCGTGGACGAGGTGCTCAGGCGGATAGTATCCAAGGCTATTCTGCAAATCGCTTCCCCTGACGTGGAGGCAGCCTGCGGTTATCTTCAGAAATGTGCTGGATCACCAGGTGGCATTGAAGCGGCAGTGCATGCCATGCAAGGCATTTATAGCCAATTGTCCACTGAAGGAGTGCTGTTGGTGGATGCCAGTAACGCATTCAATAGCATTAACTGACAGGAAGCTCTGCATAATGTTCAGCGTCTCTCCCCAGCAATATCTACCATTCTTCGGAACTCCTATCAGTCGGAGGCACGTCTGCTTGTCCCTGGTGGTCACAGATGTCATCAAAGGAGGATACAACCCAGGGAGACCCACTGTCGATGGCATTTTACGCATTGGCCACACACTCCCCATCATTCAACATTTGCAGCAGCAACACGACGATGTTAGGCAGATCTGTTATGCGGATGACTTGCATACCAGCATCGAGTGTTGCTGGCGGAATGCGAGCGTTTCGAGACTGGTGGAATACTATACAGGAGCAAGGGCGTATGTATGGGTATTTCACAATCCAGACAAAACCCTACTTCGCGTCAAGCCAGACTTGGAGGAGGAGGCTTCTCAACTCTTTGACGGCACAGGAGTCCGCATTGTGACGGGAAGTGTGAAGTACCTCGGATCCTACATCGGGGAACCTGATGCTGTTTTTTGACCCACGGCTTGCGAGGGCGTTGGGTGTACTTGTTCCGGACCGCTCCTATCCCGGAGGATTCAGTGTCTGCTCTTGATAAAATAATTGAATCTGAGTTTCTACCAGCAATTACTTCCGGGATGCGTTGGCATTGAGATACGACTGGGTACTGGCTGACATGCCCAACACATGCTCTCGTGGGAAGCCATTAATAGTGCCGCCCATGCCATGTTCTGCCCCACCCGTGGTTTCCTACAATAAGGCGTAACGAAGTCCGAGACATTGTTGCTGATCTGCTCACAGAAGTTTGCTCAGATGTTGCGATTGAGCCACAGCTGGCTCCGATTTCAGGGGAGGTATTTGTATCAGCCTCTACCAACACGGCCAACGATGCTTGTGCCGATATCCGCGCACAGAATGCCTTTCAGGAGGTGCGTGTAGTCCATCCAGATGCTCCATCCTACTCCACCAGATCGCTCGACAAACTACTGGTGGAACATGAGAGGAGAAAGAAATCAGAGTACGCCGAGCGTATCATCAACGTGGATCATGGAACACTTACTCTACTAGTTTCCACCACAGCCAGTTGTTTTGCGCTGGAGTGCTCCAGATTTGCTAAGCGCCGCTGTGGTCTCATTTCTACTGGAGACAACAAGTTGTATGCCGAGACAGTGACCTATGCCCGGTGATGCTTTGGGGCATTCTGCAATAACGTGCGCTCGCAGTGCCTGTTCATCGTACCACCGTCCCTGTCTCGTAAAAATGCCTTGCAGGACCTGGCAATTCCTGAGGGCCGGTAATGAGTGAAGGCAAGTAGATAATATTATACAGAACAGTTTACATCCATTATTTGGAAATTTGTGTTGTACTAGTTTATTAGCATTAAATAGCATTAAATTTTGCATTTCAAATGGGAACTTGGTTTGCATTCCTAGAACCTTTTCCACACGGTCACTTTTATTTTGTATGCATAATTTTGTGTTTCTTTCTTTGTGTGTTGTGTTCTAATCCTTCATGATGGCACATTGAACCATGATCACCATGCCCGCCATGATCACCATGTCCGCCATGATCACCATGACCACCATGATCACCATGATCACCATGACCACCATGATCACCATGCCCGCCATGATCACCATGATCACCATGTCCGCCATGATCACCATGACCACCATGATCACCATGACCACCATGATGACCATGACCAGTATAAGCTGCATGCACTAGTTAGTACCTTTTCCAGACCGGCAACATTGATACTGATGTCATCAAAGAGATGCGCGCCGAGCTTGGTGACGGAGTAGACAACCGGCCGCGCAGAGGTGATGCTCAGCCGGTGCGAGATGTCCGCCAGGATCTCTTTGGCAGCCTTGGTCACGTCACTGACATCCTTGTTCTCCCTGGCAGCCACCTGAAAACGGATTACGGAAGCACGTGTGCATAGTGGTTAGGATAGGGAACGGATGTATTTACAAAAAACGCTCATAAGCAGTTTAATGCATACAGCACACACACCTCAGACCTCCTCAGACCTCAGACATGCCCATCGCGGAAGCGATGATAGCGAACAGCTATGTTAGACATAGCAACTACTTGTGCTGGGATTACACCATTCAACAGCTTGCAAGGCTGATGAATTGACCGCCACTATTTTTAGCCTGGTATCCACCACACAGCTGTTTGAAGTGACTTTTTCTGGCCAGTGAATCCCTATTTTTCATTTTTCATTTTTTTCCATTTTTTCCTATTATTTTTTTTACACACATACCACACCACATACTCCGGCATACACTGGCTGTTGGTAACCACCCAGGAGAATGAAAGAAAAGTCTGGAAGAGTCCAAGAAAGAGAAGAAAGACGTGTGCGACCATAATCGTCGGGAATTGAACCCGCAACCTCTCGATTGGAAATCGACCGCACATACCACTGCACCATATGGGACACACATACCACTGCACCATATGGGACACACACACACACACACACACACACACACACACACACGCACACACACACACACACACACGCACACACACACGCGCACACACACACACACACACACAATGACAGAAATGCTTTGTTGTTCACTACATTGTAGACGCTATTGCGATCAGTCCGGCCCGGCACTATGAGCTCCGCTGATGAGACCTACAGTCCATTCATTGGAAACTGGCACCCTAACTTTTTGGTGTCTCTCTCACATAGTTGTAGATATCGCGAAAACAACAGTACATCCTGCATTGTGTGACCCGTGCAATTACTCCTTGCCACATTTGAGGCCAGAAAAGTCCAAGAACAGGGAAATAGAAATTCAGCCAGGTTTTACAAAATTAGGACAGGTATGCCATGGCAAAATGTATGGAGAAGCAGATCCAAAACCCAGAGTTTTGAGATTTCAAGTGGGTTTTTGATCCTCAATTCGGCCCAAATCCGACTTTCAAAAGCCAGCGGGCCAGTTTCCGATGAATGGACTGTAACGAGGTCAAAAACAGCTAGCTGTCGGGAGATTGAGTGCACTCGAGATGTTTTGTAGCTTTCTCTCTTTATTTTTGGACTGCAACATTGGATGAAGAACAGTAGACGGTCCTATTCAAGACACTTTGCAAGAACAGCAATAGTGTACAGTATGCTGCCCTGCCAACTCCACCTCCTCTCATGGGTTTCATGCACCCTCCTTTCTACCAAAGCTACGTGCCACCCTTCAAAACAATGTCAGTGTAGTATACGCTAATCCCAAGATTACAAACCCACATTGTATTACTACCTCTTTAGTACACTACAGTGTGGATTATTTCATCTGTTTGGGAGCCATGGAGTATATGAGGAACATACCAAGCTTCTCAAACTCAATAGGCACTCAGCTACTTATTCACGGGTTTCTAAAAAGTACACAGGTACAAGCATTTTGAATGCTTAGGTGACATGTGATCCCAGGCGGATGAATGAGGGGGGGGGGGGGGCAGTACCACGGCATATCAGGCCCGCCGGAACCGGCCCGGTTGGTCAGGTTATCACCGGACCAAATGTGGCACCGGACCAAATGTAGCACCGGACCAAATGTGGCACCGGACCAAATGTGGCACCGGACCAAATGTGGGTCACCAACACAATGTCATGTTTACTATGTTGGAGGCCTCGAGGCCCGAGGGCTAGGCTTTTCCGGATTATGCGTTTTTTCTTGGTCTAAAATGGAAATGGAAAGTGTTTTGAAAAACCCCTATAAATCAATTTTTTTTCTAAAGAAAATGCAAAAATTTACCCAAAAAGCACAAAAAATGCCACCGTTGCCATGGTAACAAAAATGGCGACAGCTAGTCGGGCGACATTTGGCACCATGGTGATCATTCATGGTGATCGTGGAGTACCTATCGCTTGCAGGGAGTCGTAAAATACCGGTATTTTACGACTCCCTGGCCCAAACTAGTCCAAAGTGGGTCAAAATGGACAAAATGCATTTTGACCCCCAAAATGCAAAAATATGCAAACACATAATCCGGAAAGGCCTACCGAGGGCACGTGTACCCGCCATATCATACACAAACCGTATGAAACTGACCATGATACTGCCGGACCAATCAAAACCTGCTTCCGGCGCTCCTGCATATCTGTATACAGTGTATACAATGGAACATCACGGCATGAAGTTCCGATGTACTATTGCATCGTCATGGACGCTATCTGAAACCAGGCGGTATTTTCTGCCCTAAAGTTGTGGTTTTACATAACTATACTTCTCAATTCACTGGAGAGTGGAGTGGATGAGGTAAAGTGTGTAGTAGTTGACAGATGACAGACAATATCAATTTTTCATGAATCATGATTGAATTTACACTTGAATATCAATCTCACCGCCAGAATCAGTCTCTGAACTCTGGGTGACGTCAGAACACTGATCAGCAGCTGCTCAGCGCTCAGGTTTCTGCAGTAGGTGTAGTACTGGGGATGGTAGCGTCGCAGCATGAGCATCAAATTCGGCCGGTAGTCCAGCAGGTACGGTGCCAAACGATCATCCATGATCTACAGCAAAAGTATTCCCAGCCTCGCGTCGCCGCTATACTAGCCTCTGCGTCCGGGCGATACGCCTCATGTGCACACTCCGAAATATACCTAATCTTGTTATCTATGAACCAAGTGTAAGAACTCCTGATCTCCTAAAATAGTAAAATTAATATTCTACTCCCTCTGGCGCTGAACTGCGAAAGGGAGAATGACCACCTTCTCCAGCTAGCGTGAATTGGGTACGGGCGCGGGTGCACACTACACATGCAGTAGTAACCAGATGTTTGCATTCTCCAGCGCTAGCGCTGCAGCCCGATGTGATTTGTACCGCCAGTGCTTGCCCGACCTAAGCCCAAACTCCAAAGGTCAAGGCTCAAGAAAACATTTTAGGCACCTTCCAAAGGCTAGTGCTATGGGTAGGTCTGCATGTAGCGTGGACTGGTCAGTGCGGTGATCCTAAGTCCTGACTTGTCGAATCTGAACGCGTCAGTGACACTACTTGCTGCATAGCAGTGGTGTCGTCCAAAACCAACCGTCATACTGGCTGTCGACCGCCATCGACTGCTAGCTGTGAACCATGGTGAACAGGATCAGGAGTGAAGCCTGAAGGAAAAACAGTCACCTCAAGTGCTCAACTCAGGACTCGGCTGCAACCGTGCACAGCAGAGATGATGCCTGAACTGAAGTGAAGATACGTGAGTTGTCATGCGTGCGTGTTCACGTGAGACATCTAGCACCTGTACACCACTGGATGCCTAGCCTGCATGGGACCATACTACCGGTATACCTGGTATGCATACGGCCATAATTATGATCTACACTACCACTGAGTCTGTAAGTGCCGGATAGCTAGCCTGACAAGATCAAAATTAATTAAAAGTAGGGGGGGGGGGGGACACGGGCATATTATTTCAGGGTGACCAGCATGGTGGCTTGGGAACGGCACTGTGACCATGGTGACTTGAAGTAGAAATATCGAGAAAAGAAAATATCAGTTGGATTCAACATTTTATCAGGAATTGGCAAGTGAAAAACGTATAGTATTGTGCAATAGCATTTCATCAAAGTCTGACATTATGTTAAAAGTGAAAGGGAAAAAGAGCTGAACTTCCTTTTCGACAATGCTCAGCCAATAATTACGATTGTTTTAAAATTATTATCAGGTATCAAAAGGAAGTGCATGCGTATCAGTGTGTATCGAGTAGGTGTCCATACACATTACAGTTTGCAAAGCACATATCAGTTATAGAAACAGTGGGTAGGGCCGAGTCGTCTAAAGTTAGACGTGATCAATACTAGATATTGTGAGCGACTTCGTCAGTTGCTGGCGGCAGTCGTAGGGAGGGGGGGGGGGGGGGATGGCGGGAGCTCAAAGGTGTAAATAGGGCATGAAACAGTTGGGAAGGAGCCGAATGTACAGAAATATAAACTCTTTCAGGTTCTCGCTTGCCGGCTTACAACGCACTTCAGTGCGTCGGCGCAGATAATATTCGTGGGGTAAGAACGATAAGAAATAGAAAAAATTTGCATCAGAATTCTTCAATTCACCACGCGGGACAGGCATAGGAAGCATGCTGCCGAACGATCCAAGACAGTGTTGAAGCCATTGCAGCTAGGAATGATGGCGCAGGGGCACTTTCAGGTTGCATTGTCTTTTTCTCACGCTTCAGTGCCGCATGGGCAGGTAGAGATCTGCAGGTCGAATCTCGCCCTTGTGTGCTCGCTTGCACAGGGACTTCAGCTCCCTGAGAACTTGCTTGAATGATGGGCGGTTGATAGACCTTCGTCAGCAACAAAGACAGCAATGATAATGATGGCGACAGGAGCACCAGAAACAAACAAATAAGCATAGAACAACAACAACAACAACAACAACAACAACAACAACAACAACAACAACAACAACAACAACAACAACAACAACAACAACAACAACAACAACAACAACAACAACAGCAGCAGCAGCAGCCGCAGCAACAAAAACCCGAGAACATCATGTTAAGTCAACAGGGAATATCCGGCTTCACTGACGACCAATGTTTGTACGTCCTGATTCACTACAAAAACAAGCAAACTCTATTGCTATGGTTCACAACAGAGCAACGCAGACTCCTGTTCTTCGTTCAAACTCAAACCCATTCCACCCCATGAATTTTCAAAAACCGCAATCCGTTCCTCCATGGCAGCATTGCACTAGAAGATCCCACAATGTGGCTATACAGGTATAATCCTATCCCAGCCGGCAAGACACCTAAGCGGGGGGACGCCTGGGTGAGGCAAGGCACTCTGATGGTATTTTACAGGATGTTCAACGGAGCATTGTATTTAAAACGGGGAGTTCAGGGAGCAGGTGGGACCGACTGCAATTGCAAGGGCGTAAAAGTTGGCATTAGAGAGTTGTTGGCCCTTGTGCGTAAAACAAAGTGTACTGCTCATAAATATAACACTTCATGCAGAAACTTCATCTAAGTTCATAGTAAAGAAAAGGACCAAGGAACTACAAGTTACGCTACAATGTCCACTAACACCACCCGCTACTTGACAATCAGCTCATGCGACAGCATTGCACGACACTGACAGACAGTGACGTTCAACTGGCTAACAGCTCTAGCACGTTTTGGATGCGCACTCCAACAGCCTTCCAACTTGGAAGGTTCTAAGTTATATGATAACATAGGAGAGGAAGGTGAGCGCAACCAAGACAAGCACACGCTGAAAGTCTCAGCTGTGAAGGACGTTGGCATGGCGGATGTACTGCACATGCCTGTTGATGACATTATAGCGCAACTTGTAGTTCCTTGGTCCTTTTCTTTACTATAAATTAATCCTTGGCTCTCCTTCCGAGTCTGTACTTCATCTAAGCTTCGTCCTTATGACTTACTCGAAACTCCAGCATTTCGTCATTAGCTGATATACCTCTGGTGGACAGGCAGCTGGACAGTCCAGTCGCTCGCCGTCCTCTAACATTCTCAGAATCTCCGTGCCTTTACGACCCTGCACGGCGAAATTCAAAAACAGTTGGCAGAAAATTCTCTCCTGCAAGATCTTTATACTTACAACGGGGTGAGGTCTGACCTCATCTTCCTATCTTTAAAGTAGCATAATAATGCAATGCCGCACACAAACCAGCAATCTCTACCTGAAACAGACCACAGTGCATTCCAAAGTGATATGCAAAGGTTAGATAAACAGGTGACATAGGTGAATTGCTGCAAACTATTTACCGAGGCTGAATTCCACACTTTGAAAGTGTACAATGTACTCTGGTACAGCAACAAGACTTAGTGTGCATAGAGAAAAGTGACTGATGGCAATCTGCCCAACATACTGCTCATCAACTGTGTTCGATATAAGACCCTGGATTCAGGCCAGGTAATCAATAGAGCTGCGAGCAATGGAGTGACTCCGACCATGCGTACTCTGTACGTAAACACTACACTGTGGGGCGGGCAGTCCAGCACGGATCGCTTACAAAGTAGGGCTTGTCGCCAAACGACAGCGCCTCCCACAGCGTGACCCCATAGCTCCAGACATCGGACTTGGTGTCGAACTTGAAGAAGTAGATACATTCCGGTGCGTACCACTTCAATGGCCAGCGACCTGCCACCTCGGCCTAAGCAGGCGGCAAACACACACAAACATGTGAACAATGCATCCAATATCACATCTACCCCTTCACTGTTGTCCAATCTGCCCCACCACAAATGGATTTTCAAAACCGTGAGTACCCACCACATCAAGCAACTGCCTGGTCCTTTTCCGCGGTGCAACACCGGTACGAAACCAGATCTGTCTTGCATGGAATCAACCACACTCGACTATGTTTCTGGCAGAACACTTTGGAAGACAAGGACCGGCCAGCGTGGTGTAAATACGGGAGAAGCACAGTGACTACCGACAGAGTAACTGTCAAAGCAAATCTTACCAGGTGAAATGGTGAAGTGCAGCAGATCTCTTACCCGCTCCCCATCCTACACACAACAGGCACTGTAATCTGCTTCACGTCAACACTCACCCTATAATAGTCGTTGCTTAGACCCAGCGCTCTGGACACAACACTCACCCTATAATAGTCGTTGCCTAGACCCAGCGCTCTGGACACAACACTCACCCTATAATAGTCGTTGCCTAGACCCAGCGCTCTGGACATGCCAAAGTCACTGATCTTGCAGAAGCGCGGCGTCACGCACAGCACATTGCGCGCAGCGAGATCGCGGTGGACAAAGCGCTTCTCCTCCAGATAAGCCATACCCTGGTGCAGAACATGAGGTATTTTAGATGCGGAGGATAACAAGTTAGACAGTCGATCAGTGTTCATGTAGCCAACTTCTAACCAAGCCAGTAATACATCGAATATCCAGGTGCATGAGGCTAGCCCTGAACTGATTTTCCATAATTATAAGGAACAAAAATACGGTCGCGACAACGCCAGAAAGAGGTGGCAACACGCCCATATATGGATACAATGTGTACACAAACGTATATCCATGATCTCTGCTGTCCCCTGACCTGGATAAGCATGCGCAGGGAACTGTGTAAAACTGTAAATAGCAAGTACAACCCTCAATCAGGTATGAGATCAGCATAGGTATCGTTTCCACACTCAATCTAGGCAGGTCAACATGAGACACGCATGATGACCATTTCCAATTTAACAGAGCACACGGATATAGGTACCGGCAAGAGTACATAGCCCCAAGAGTGTGCAACTCCAGCTATGGGGTCTGCGACGGCAGAACTTCACATCACGTGATGAACCCGTACTTTATTATTATTATTATTATTATTCACAATCACGTGGCACTAGCCAATGAAATGGTGATGTGGGCGATAGCCAGCCATGGCGGTAATAGAGCTAGAGGGGAGAAAGAAAAAGAATGAAAGGGGAACTGAAAAGTAAGAGAAGCTAGGGCAGGGCTGGATATGAACTAGTATGTTGCATTCTGCAGTAGCTGTGTGAATGTATTGTAACATTGGCAGGATTTTAGATGTTGTGGGAGGAGAGACCAATGACGGTAAGCAATGAAGAGAGGAGATGTTTGCATAGAGGCAGACCGCGCAAGGGAAGCGGAGAGAGTTTCTGGTGCGCATGTCTTGAGATTGAGCAAACCAGCTTAGGCAGGAGAGAGCATAAAGAGGAGCAATGCCCAGCTTAATTTTATGAATTGTCTGGCATGCCAAAAAACGCACGCGGACCGAGAGCGGCACAGCAGAAGCAAGGCGGTATAAGTCTGTGCTTGGAGTCAGGCGAGGAAGCCGAAATAATATTTTCAAAAGACGCCTATGCATAACTTCGAGTCGAGCAATCAGTGTTTTAGAAATGCCAGCCCAAATTATGCAGCAGTAATCAAAAATAGGCAGAATGTAAGATGTGTAGATAACATGGCGACAGTCGGTGTGGAGGTGGGTGATGTGTGATGAGAGAAATCCCATTACTGAGCTAACACGGCTGTCTAAATTTTCGATCTGGGATTTCCAGGTTAAGTGTTGGTCAATAATGACGCCAAGATGCTTGTGTTTTTCAACGATGCAGAGCGGGGTTGTGGTGCCTGGAAAGGTGAAGGGACTGGTTTCTAATGAAGATAGGTCACAGGAACAACTGGGGAGGGATACACATTACAGCAGTTTTCGAAGAGTTGGGCTACAATTTCCATTTTTCCATCCAATGAATAACGCCATCTATGTTGGACTGTAACTTGGCACTAGCCTCGGGGAGAGCGGGTGCTGTCACAAGCAGTACGTGCTGTATCATCAGCATATAGTGATGTGTGATCCATTTCTGCCAGATCGTTTACATACATAAGAAAGAGGAGAGGCCCCAGGAGTGATCCCTGAGGAACTCCAGACCGTACATGCCCTTTGGCAGACAGAGCAGAGCCGACACGCACCCTTGTACACATGATAGATACTGGGTTGTACGCAGCCCAGCTTTGGGCACAACTCTCTTGTGATCACTTTGCACTGTTTGCCAGCATAACCTTTTGAACCATGTCACGTGATGTGAAGTTCTGCCGTCGCAGCACAGCATAGAGGTTGTGCAGGCAGTTGCACACTCTTGGGGGTTATGTACTCTTGGTACCGGTAAGCAGGAGGAAATCAATGCAACATAGCTTACTCAATAAAGCTGCAGCTCATTACTCCAAATCCAATTTATGCTATATCAGTGCTTGGCCACAGAGGGAGCGTTCTCCTTCTGGTACACGACAAAAATAACTTGCCCCCCCCCCCCTACCACCACCATCGTCTAATCTACCTAGAGAGTTGAAGCTGCTGCTGCTGCCACTGCTTCTATGGCTACAGAGTAATGACTTACCACAGCCACTTGTAGCATGAGGGACAGCACTTCGAGCCACGTAATTTCCCTGCTGACACATGGCACAGAAACAGCGGCACACTTCAAGCCAAATCCTTCACAGTATGCCGGGAAATATTCTTTGCAGCAGAGTTTTCAACTGGACCGTATAAGATAGATGTAAAAAAATGTTTCCGTCAACAAATACAGCCTCTGGATTGCGCACCCTGAAAAAGGTTTTACGAGATAAATGTTAAGAGAAATGACCAATTTACAGAAGCTACGTGCGGTAAGCATGTCCCTGTCGCCTTACTTCTTTCGTTTCCGCAGAAACTTGTGTAGTGGGCCAAGATGGGCTATCTCCATTACCAGCATCATCGGATTCGACTTTACCACACCTGTAAGTGATTTGTGCACAGACAAGCACATCCACATGCAGAAGCACTCAATGCACGCCGACACAAATGGTGGAGACTGCAATGCCCTCAGTGCTGCCAAACCGTCCGATTTTTCGGACAGTGTCCGATTTTTGAAGGCTCTTCCGAAAACTGGTCCGAAAAGGGAAACGTCCGAAAAGCAGCCAAAATGTCAGAGATCATTACTTTCCTATGCAAAAGTCCTGTACTTTCACTTTTCAGCGCAACTAAAGGCACAAATCACTGTACATTTGCTTCTAAAAAGACTAGTGCTTGGCTGTGGAAGTGCAAAGTAACATGCCTGGATCAGGCTGGATGGCATGTACGCTGCCAGTCTGTACAGAGTCAGTGTCCGACCACACTCATCATTACAAAATTCATGACAACTCCGGGGTTACTAACGAAGCGAATTTTCATGGTGTTTTAGGCGATATTTTGAATTCTCTGTAAAAAAATTGCCGAGGAGAAAAATTCGCACCATGTGGCCAGCCTTGGCAGTGAAAATTATTTGGCAGCACTGTACACTGTACAATAGAACTTCTCTCTCTCTCTCTCTCTCTCTCTCTCTCTCTCTCTCTCTCTCTCTCTCTCTCAATCTCACGCACCCACGCCCACACACTCACTGCCGCGTGCAAACACCTTCGCCAGTGTGAACACACACACACACACACACACACACACACACACACACACACACACACATTATACACACACACACACACATACACACATACACACACACACACACACACTCACTCTTTTTCCTGCACATCGGACTGTCAGTAGCGAGCATCAACAGAACAAAATGTGCATCAAGCCAACTCTGTACTGTGCAAAGCACTTTGAACAGCACTGCTGTGCTTGCACTCACACATCCCTATAAAGTGCTGTTCAATGAAATCCAATGCAGTGAGCGAATGCCACGCTGGGTGCTTTGCAACCCTAGACCTGTGAACAATGAGATGCAAACTGGTGCAGGGCACAAACTTGATTCACGTGATCGGATTTCACTGAGCAACACTGCAGTAAAGTGGCTGTATAGCATACTGCTGCTATTGGCTTACCAACAAGACGAACTATATGCGGGTGGTCAAGTCCGGCCATGGTTTGAGCTTCACGTAGGATCTCGTCCTGCAACGCAATAATACACAGGGGCAAGGACCATGTTTGGGCTTCCATTCGTTTTTTTGCTCATCCCCTATTTTCGACCAGGGTCACAGTCTAGGCAAAGGAGAATAGGAAGGTACACCCCACTGCATCAGTCCCACGCCCTACTGTGGTGACGTGTCCTCCTTGGAAAAGCCCAACCTCGTTCGGAGGATTAAAAATCTTAGTACAACAAGCCATCAAGGACCCTAGTTGAAGTAGGCGAGATGCTGTACTGTATCCATGGTCACTGAGTGGCTTGAATAGCATATAGCACTGTACTCAAGGTAGAACTTTGCATCCCACAATACACTGGCATGCTCCTCCATTTCAGTCCTTCTAACGAGTCTTCACAGCACACTCCTATCCAGAAACCCGATGTTCCATACAACAGTGTGTTGAAATGACAGCAAAACTGGAAAACGCCAATGCAGTTGAATAAACAGAGTACATGTAATATCCAATCCACACACACATACGTGCACGCACACACACACACGTACACGCGCGTGCGCACACACACACACACACACACACACACACACGGCACAGGCCAAAACGCAGTCTACAAGATTAGTACTGGCATCAGAAATAGTGTCCGTGTACCGGCAGCACTTACCCTTTGGTTCGGCACGTCATCCACCTTCAGCATCTTGACGGCAACCTGCACACGCTTCCTTGTGCGCGGCAGACTGTAGGTACCAAGAAGTACCGAACCAAAGTTTCCAGATCCTAACACACACCGGGGGCAAGAACATCCACGGAGAAGACAAACAGAAACAATCAGTTCTCTGAGCACAATGATACATGCATATCCACAATCCACGGTCAGGTTTTCATTTTTCAAGCTCAACCCCTGAGCCGGGTAATCTGGGTGTCGGGTTGATAGCGCGCACGGCGCTGAAATTTGGCAGCGAGCAAAAGACTGTGTCCACGCTGGTGGCTGTAAAGCAGTACGTTCTCAATGTACTTACCCAGTTGATCTTCAGTGGAGATAGCACTGGGAGTGATTTCAAAGACTCCCTGATCGGAACTCTCGCTGAAGATACTCTGAAAGCCTGGCTCCTTGTCCACCCGGAAGAAGTCAGGCATATCGTCACCAATGCTGACGACGACCTTATGCCGTCCGCTGCCCGGAACATCGGGTAGAGCCACTTTGCTGGCTACTGGCGTGGGCTCGTAGAGTTGCTCTACGGGAGAGATTGAACAAAAGGCACACATCACACGGAACAGTTCTACCGCCAAAGTGCGAGTACACTTTCAATGGTACCTCATGCTACTGACCAAATATCAACCGACCACCTTTACAGCTGTTAACAAAGATCCAAACACTGCTAGCTCAATACAAAAGTGCATGTGCGCATATACACTCCGCAGGAACCAGTAAAGTTTCAACTTTCCAGTAATGTGTCAATCAAAAAGGTACCGTAAGTCCAGTCAATGACAACATACATACTGTACTCTCTCACATAAGATCCGGGGGAGGGGGGGGGGGTCAACCCGTCTCTACTCAGTTTCTTGCTATGACACAATCGTTTAAAAGAGTTTTAAGATAATTATAGTTTCATGGACCACAACTTGCTCCAGCTACACTGGCAAGCAAATACACAGAAGTCGACGAACAGAAGAGTCAGTCACGCTGAAAACATAAGAAGCACAACACTACCCGGCTAACAGAAAGTTCTCACTACTTCTCACCGTCATTGGGTATGGGGTCAGTCAGAGGACATAACAGGCCGTCCGGCTTCCGAGAATAGTGGTCTACCACCTACATGAACAGAACGGTTATAACGGTAATGTCGACATGTGATTTGGATCAATGTGACTCACGGCAGAGACTTCAATGGTGCATCGCCCAGGGTAAGCGAAGATGGACCACAAGAGACTGAGTTGAACAGTTGAACATCTTAATACAGTCACTGGGGAAACTCCCACTACAATATTTCTCTGACTATAGTTGTAAGTCTTTTCACCCGTGAAGCTTCACACGGCCGTAAGACGGGTAGTACAGATCGCACATGACCTACTACTCAAGTGATTATAGCGAGACAAAAAAAAATAGAATGATATGAGAGAAACCAGGAAATGTGGGGTACGACTTATATAAAATATGCCGAGGATGATTTTTAATCGGGGGAGTTGTGTGAAATTGGACCTGTCTAAAAGAATGTGTTTGTGCCATTGCCATTGGCTTAATAGTGGCTACCCTTACCGCAAGCAAAGTATCGAATTTCCGTCCATTACTTATAGAAAGTAGGCTGTCCACGTCGATATCTAGTAGATAGTGGAAGACGGTCTGGCGGTGAGCCAGACAAACAGCATAGGATCCCTGCTGGTCGCGTTCTCGCACTAGAAAACAACCGTCCTTCAACGGCAGATGCTGGTTCATCCTCTTCTCGGCATCCACACGTGTCAATTTACCATGGAACCATGGCTGTTTGGTCTGAATCACTGCACCCACGATTTGTTCCACCTGCCGCCGGAACTTTGCAATCGCTTCATGCGGCTCACCCTGTATCAAAGTGGTAATGTAGACAATCATTCAAGCATGCATGCACGTGTGCGTGCGCACACAGACACACACACATACACAAAGGCACACACACACACACATACACACACACGCATTGGCTCCTATTTATTCTGCCGGATGCACGTGCTCCCCGACTTCTTGTTTGCCTAGAAATTCTCTCCGTAGCAGTTCTTCTTGGCTGTTCCCCTGATTTTTTCTCCACAACACTGAACCAGCAAGATATAGATGGGCTGGTCTGAATACTGTGTTGTAGTGAGATAATTCTGTTAAGTATATACTGTGACACACACACACACACACACACACACACACACAGGCGCACAGTGACACACACACACACACAAACACACAAAGGCGCATAGTGACACAAGCGCACCACCCTAACATAAACCTTGAGCGTATGTACCAGTGAATCATCCAAGTGCATATGAGCTGCCCCAACACACCAACATGTACAAACTAACGTGCATAAGAGCTGCCCCAACACACCAACATGTACAAACTAACGTGCATAAGAGCTGCCACAACACACCAACATGTACAAACTAACGTGCATAAGAGCTGCCCCAACACACCAACATGTACAAACTAACGTGCATAAGAGCTGCCCCAACACACCAACATGTACAAACTAACGTGCATAAGAGCTGCCCCAACACACCAACATGTACAAACTAACACACCTACATACCAACACGCCTACACAAGCTCCAACGAAAATACATAACGTCAACACTTTCTCTCCAATAGCCCACAATGACGGACTCTCCGGCATGGGCGTGTGGCGGATCAATCAGCTTCCTTCTCCTGTCTAAATTATAGTCACACCCGCGACACGATCTTGGGAGACCTGACTTGATACTGCCCAACACATGTACAATCATGGTACACTTTCAATATCACTAATTCCGACAACCGGTCACCTCATGTACGTGCTTTGGTGCTTCAACTCCTTTCAGTGTATGTCATCAGCCCAGTTGTTTTTGACAACTGTAGAGGGCAGTAGAGGGTAGTATCAACAAGTGTCAATGGCTGAGTTATGGACTCCTCACACCAGTCATTCATGACCAGCATAACAGCTGTACAAACCAATATTCCTCCGCTGACACACACACACACACACACACACACACAATGCAGATGGAAAGTATTCCAAAGGCAATTAAACGTTACCCCCCCCCCCCCCCATCACATTATTGCATTAGGAGAATTCATTACATGTACATGTACATAGCACAAATTTGAGGAAATTTGATTCCCGAAATCTCTCCCCAGATTGCACCTGACTCATTACTTACTCTGAACCCCATGCTGGCAAGCGAGGCAACGGCTTGCCGCCTGGCAGCCTCCATTTCGGCATGCGTTACTCCCTTATAACCCATCGGCTCCACGTTTCTCTCGCGCAGCAGCGGTCTCCGTAGCTTGGTCAGCAGGCCATCCTGGGCGGTGAAGTGATGGGCAACAAGCTCTACCGGACCTTCGAATCGCTGGCCTTCCTCGATCGCCACACGGCCATCGCTGTGCCGAGTGATCTGATAGTGGTATTTTATACCGCCGAATGCCAGCGACAGTGCATAGTCGCCTGCCAAGTTCGTCATTTCACGCACCAGAAACAGGCCATCGCCACAGCCATTCCTCTGTAGGAGAGCCTCCGCTTCCTCGCGAAGGATGCGCCCGTGAAACCATTGCTCAAGATTGATGTCCTTCATGGCTCACTTAGGTTACAACAATATCATTCGCTGCAGGATATTCTATTATTCTACACAAATACGACTGGGTCATCGGGGGAGGACAGAGATTTCAAAATGACCAGTCCCACTATGCAAAGCTATCGCTTGAAGAACAGCTGCTGCTGCTGCTGCATCGCTGCTTGAACTGATAAAATAACTATGTTCCTCGCACAACCGCGTGGCACACATCGGGCAAGCTGCCAAGGGGATCTGGACATTACGAATTATTATTTCGTCAATATTTCGGAGCGCGGCCGGACGCGACCGTCACAGCAGCATGGCACGACAGTCGATCGACTCGACAGGTATTTTACCTGTTTCCCTTCAGTTCAAGCTCGTCCCACGGTTAGTACATGTACTAGTATTACTATTACTAGTATTAGTACTACGAATAGTACAGTACGATCATGTAGATCGGCCATATGCCATGGGCCCAGAAGCAGAACTGCCAGAAGGCAGGACTGACAAACAATGTTACCGGTACACAGCACTGACCGATGACATGTCGACATACCGCGTAGATCTACCGTGGGTCGCGTCGTGGCACTGTGACTGTGACGTGTGAGCCTGGGCCACGGTACGGCCCAGCCAGTGATCATGGTGATGAGTGCTTGCTTTTGTAGTCGAGCAATCATCTACTGACTGTACAGCAATCATCTACTGTAGATCTAGATCTACTACTCAGTAGATCTACAGACGTCAGACCCCTCTAGTGCTCTACCATCATCTACACGTAGAGGATATAACCCGAGTCAGAGGGTTATACCGGCTGATTATCACATATCAGGTGACCGTTTCCTAGGAATGGGCCAATCACTGCCCTTCCTAGGCGGGTGATATAGGCCGATATCACCCCTGCTGCTCCATATCACCCCTGCTGCTCCATATCACCCCTGCTGCTCCATATCACACCCGGCTGCGTACCTAGTACAGTACCATTGGTACTCACATACTCGAATGCGTACTGTAGCTGAAACTGCATATTTAGGATTTCACTGCCGTCGCCAGCCCCCCCCCCCCCCCCAGCCCTCCTTCGGCCAGCTGGCTTGGGATTGTGGGAGGGGGTCTATGTGGAGGGGCTAGTGACAACAATGAATTCCTTACATATACAATTCCATCTATAGTACGCATCCAAGTTGACCTACCATGAAGAATGACAAGGCCGAGGGTAAGCACAAACAGAAACTTACCATTCTTCTTCTAAAGCTTGTCCTTATCGTGTCCTCGTGAGAAAAATGGCTAGCTTTGATTTGGGCGTTTGTGAAGGTGACTTGGAAGATCAAGAGCTTTTAGAGGCTGCTGCAAATTATTTCAATTTTTTATCACCCAGCGAACTAGCCGAAGTGTCTGATTTTTCTTGATCATCAACCACAACTGCAACTTTGTCGAATGGCGAAGTACTGGAGAAGACCACCACGGAAAAACGTGTAACATCCGAGCCAAGTATTGTAGAAGAAACGTCTCAACGATTTGTGCAAGTGTCGGAGGATGAGATCGACAGAATCCGAGAAAGCCGTGTTTCAACCAACACGAAGCGAGCCACCAACGTGTCTCGGATGTTTGGTGTACAGTCTATAAGAAAAAATGTGATCTGAAAACCATCTCAGCTACCAACCTTGCCTCAATCCTAAAGCATGCGTATGTGGAATTTAGGCAGATCAACAAGCTTTCGTACTCCAAGAACAGTTTGCTGCAATTCCGCAGTGCTATTCACCGCCAGCTACAAGACCTCAAGCGTAACATTATGGTAATAATAACTCAAGTTATTAGGATGACTCAAAGGCAAATCGCCTATCGAGGGGTTCACAGCGTTGAATGGTTGTGGTATGACAAAGCAAAGAGGCAACCATTGTGTGTGTGTGTGGGGGGGGGGGAGCTTCGAACTATGCACAGTGAAGGGATAATTGTATGTACATAACCAAGGAAAGGGTATACCGGACTAAGACTGGAAAAACAACCCCGAGCATCTCACCTACCTTGTCTGGTTCGTCATCACATATCACAGTGTCTCAGGGGTTCAGAAATACAAGTGCCTAACAGCTTACTTGCAGCCTAGCGAGCAAGATAAGATTGCTACAGCTCGCCTGCTCAATGCGGAGGTTGATAAAGCTCTGCAGGAGTCAACTCCGGCTGAATTGGAAGCCTTGGAAAGGCCACAAGTACCACCAGCTTCGCCAGCCTCATCGTGTGTCAGTTCGGAGAACAGCGCAAAGTTCATCTTCTCCGGAAACTTCGCAGGCGCTGTTCACATCCACGTTCATGATGTCAAAGCCTGTGAGCAGCGCTAATTCTCAGATACAGTGCAGTATATTGCTTCATTTTCATCATCTTCTCTTCTATCTCTATTTCCTGGGACTCTTTTACATTGATGTCCTTTCACTTCTGCTTAGACTTCAACTAAAACAATTCGAAGCTTTGAATATTTCTGTCCCGCGAATGATGTGTCAGACGGGGGTGAATGGGTGTGGCATCGGAGAGGGTCTCCACACAATGTGATGTCCTATTCAGTTCACAGGGTCAAATCTACTACAGTACATGTACAGTAGTGGGTAGTACTACAATTGTAGTATCATGTTTATGTTTATGGACTCGATGTACACATGTAGCATGTGAAAAGCAGGATATGACGGTCGTACGTGTTAGGTTCGTAGGGTCATATGTGATAAGTAGAATATCACCCTCGTAGCTCGGGTGATACCGTACCCTCATATCAATCCCTTCTGCTTCGCAGTCGGGATTGATATTCGCCGGTATCACCCTCGTACTCATGAGATATTCTTTACATATAAATCCCGACTGCGATAGCAGGAGGGATTTATATGAGGGTACGGTATAACCCGACTACGAGGGTCATATCCTACTTATGCCAGGTACCCCTACCCATTTCCAGAACAACGAACCTATTTGGAGATCTCCTACATCATGCAGTACATGAACATCTTCTGATGGTTATCAGTTGTCAATTGAAAGAATGGTCGAGCAAGGTCAGAAGGAGATTCCTCCGTGGATGTTTGGCATAAGATTTCCTTTCAGTTCCAGTGCATATTGTAGCTTCAAACGACCCACGTGCCCTTTGCTAGGTTACGACCAATCAGCAGCCTCGGAGAGCGGGCTTTGATATTCCATCAAAGCCCGCTGTCATTGACAACCTGTACGAGAAAACCATCAAAGCCCGCTGCCATTGGCAACTGTACGACAAAACCATCAAAGCCCTGATCATGCCCAATCTCAGTCTTTTCAAGGTGATCTGGCTATAAGAACAAGAAACCGATAGGGGTGGTGGTCGGGGATGCGGTGGCTCTCAACTTGTGGAGTTGGAAATCTAGCTCCAGCACCGCAGAACTCTCAGCAGTATGCAGCGTGAGCAAGGCGTGTACGGTCGAAGTGAAAATACTTCCGTGACTCTTCAGCCACGTCTGGCTCTTGACACGTAGTCCTGAGAAATTTCTCACGAAACCGGTTTTTCGTCCACTGACATTACTTTCCCTTTGCTGTAATCTCTGTGTGAAACTTACGAACGGGACGAAAACGACATGCACTTTAGACTTCAGGCTGCTCTACGAAAGGCCGACATTGTCCACACTCGAGATCACCCAAAGAATGAAGCGAGTTTGATTCAAAATCAAAAAAAATGTTGGGGATCGTCTGAAGCATATTCAAGCGAGGTACAGTCGGGCTTGATGACTGATCAAAGCCCTCGGGCCCAGCCCTTGGGCCTACGGCCCTCGGGCTGGACCCTTGGGCTTTGATCAGCCATCAAGCCCTCTGTACCTCGCTTGATTATCTACATCTTCATGATCTTGTCTTGAGTCGTGAGCGGTGCGGAAGTCGACTGAATTGCTGCGGTGCTGGAGTTTGTCGTTGAATCAAACTACCGCCACTAGTTAGATTACAGCTTGGACTCTTTGGGAGTAAGTGTTACTATAATTATGGTACAGTGCTGATTTTCACATGCGGCATCTCATGATCAGTTTTGCTTGCAAGTAGATGCATTTGCATACACTGTTTTGTATCACATTTCAATCCAATCTATTGTAGCCTTTTCCAATCGGGTTGAAGTACATGTACACTGGTATTACTCAATCTACACTGGTATTATAAACTTATTTACGAAGGAGACAGTCCGTTGATGATCTTCAACTCTTCGAAGTACAATGTACATTGCTGACCCATTCGGGATACTTCGTGGTTATTCGACGTTCTTTATCCTCAGATTCAGTATAATAGAATACTCTGTAGACGAATTCCAGGTCATTCTTCTTTTCCATTGTGTACTGTTCCTCGTCAGTGTGCCGTTCTGTGTGGAGTGTACACGCATGTGGTGTCCGTTGTGTCTGTTTATGTATGGTCCGTGCGCTGGAGTACTGCCGCCGTACAAGTTCACTGCCTTTCAGGCAGTGAACATGTACGGTGGCAGTGCCCTAGCGTACGTACCGTGCACCGGGATTTATATTCTATATAAATCCCGCGCGGGATTTATACTGGCCAATATAACCATGGCTAGACGAGCGCTGATTGGCTGAAAACAGGCCCTCCGTACCGTACCATGGTATAATACTGAGTATCTAGTACACTACACCAGGTACACTCTCCAGACAGTGTAGCAAGCTAGCTAGCCGCGCCGGCCGCCGGGCTGGTTCGACCGATCGTCGACGTCACATGTCAGTGCTAGAGGCTAGTGTTGTTCAACAAAATCCGATCGCGTAAGTCACATGCACAACGGAGTAGAGTCTACGTGTGTGCCCTGCATGCTGCGCGCGTCAGTTCACCTGGGCTGTGACCTGAAGGGCCAGATAAGTGTTCGCAGGACTGGGGCTGCACAGCGCCCGGCGCGGCATTCACTCGCTGGATCGGATTTCATTGAGCAGCACTACACAGTCATCATTCATGGACTATGGTCGATGGGAGATAATAATAAACCTTGTTTTGTTGAACACATGACTGTATGTATTGTTGGTTGACAGCATTGTTACAAGGCGGAGGATCACTGACTCTGTGTTCGGAAACAGTGACCTCTCTACAACCATCCACGGTTGGTAGAGCCTCGGTCTTGCGACCATCTGAACCGTATGGAATAACAGCAGCAGAAGCAGCAACAGCGATAGCGGCGGCGAAACAACAACGACAACAACAACAACAGCAGCAGCAGCAGCAGCAGCAGCAGCAGCAGCAGCAGCAGCAACAACAACAACAACAACAACAACAACAACAACAACAACAACAACATGTCTCTTATTGGCGATGGTGCCATCGTGAGAATAAAGAATTCAACAACAACAACAACAACAACAACAACAACAACAACAACAACAACAACA